GCACCTAACACTGGATGGAAACTCGCATATATTAAAGCATCTGAAAAGTTCACGTCACTGTAAACAATCAGCCAATGAGGACTGTTTCACAATACTGGACTCCGCCTCTACAACCCAAACTCTAAAAAATCAAAGAAGTCTTGCATATTCAGTGGGAGCAGCCCTCACTGAACAAACAGCTTTTTCATGTTAATTTATCTTTGTCATTCTAAATTCATTCCATTCTCCCCTTAGTGGCATTTAAAACACTGCACTCTGATCTTATCTTATCTTTTTTATATTTTGCTTTGTAGTACTGTTACGGTTCATTCCACAATTTTTTTAGCTTGCATACATTGAATTTTTACTTCCCTATATCAATGATTGCCTGCGTGCAATAGATAACTGACGATGGTAGTGGACTGCCGAAACATGTCTTATTGGGGCCGTTAAGGCCATAACTTATTGGATTAAATACAGGCTTTGCCTAGGATGAAAATACGATCTGTTGTGTTGTTTTTGAAAATTATTAGCTGTCTGCTGTTCAATCATGTGTATAAGAGACAGTACATACATACATACTGGGGTACATATATATATATATACTGCGACGGCAAAAACAAATATGAATATGCGCCAGTTGTGTAGCAATTTAAAAAGAACGTAAATGAATAAACAAAAATGTTTAAAAGAACAATGCATCCTCATTTTTAGAAGGTCATTACCAAACGTTTGCGTTTTGGAACGCCCCGCCGGAAATATTCGAGGCGGCAGGTCTGTTAAAGGAAATATCAAATAGAAACATATAACTTATATACATTGTACAATGCGATTGTGATTATTGTAACACATGAAGAGAATGCGATTAGACTCCTACGCGAGTACTAGCCTATATCTTTAAACAGGAGACTTTAATTTGTTCGCTTATTCAAATTAATGCTTTTTTTTACTATTGGCTATTATTTTATTTATTTTGTATACATGGATATACAATATATTTTGTTTTAACGACTCATAATTTATTCACAACTTTGGGAGACCATTCGAATTAATTATATTTGGATGATTCTAATGTTCCATTTTATTTTATTTTCAATAAAAAAACTGAAATTTTTATCTTAAGGTTTTAAGGTATACGGTAGATTTAGACGGGTTTTTTTTTTAATAAAGTCGTTTAAAGCCTTCTTTCTAATTTGTACTAAATTACGGTAAAGCCATTCTATTCATATTATTTATTTATTTTATTTTATTAATCATCAAGCTACATTTAGATTTGTAAATATAATTTCATTTTCTATACAGTTATATTAATGAATAATTATTTTTTAACTGAATTTAAATTGAATTTAATTGATAATTAAATACTGAGAACTATTTACTAATTATCAACAACAAAATTAAAAATAGACCTATCTAATTATCTTCTATTTTTCTATACTACAGTATTTTAAAACTCACTGTATTGGGAGAAACTTTCTTGTAGAACAAGTGATATAAACAGTAGTACGATCATACTGCAATCCATTTTTCCGAACTTTTCAGTCTTCGCTGATATATCAAAATTCGCGTGCGTATTGCTACATCACATCTTGCAGAATTAGCACGAACACGGTTCGAGAATACATAATATACTGTTGGTCACGTGGTATTGGATAACTTTCGGGGAGGTAGTGACCGCGGTGATACACTTTTTAGCACAATATTATTTCCTTGGGGACTTCAATAAAAAGTATAGTTTTGCCAAAAGACAAGCCAGAGATAGTTTTGTTCCAGGTGGTGCCTCATATTTCAATCTTGTAACAATATAAGTTATAATTTATCCATCTACAAAGCGATGCCTCGAGGTCAACAGACTCGTCCAGCACAATACTTATGCTATGTTTTGTTAAAATGCATAGGCTCAAGGTACGGTACATTACGTTCAAAGAAGGAAAAGCAACTTTTGTAATTCGACCATAGACCTAGATATACCAATTAAGGAATGATATAGATAGGCATAAGGCGCACGGGAGAAACAGGAAGATTGATAAATAAAAGTGTATGGTAGGCCTAGATTAAGTGTGGATAAAGATTGATGACTCTAGCAACACACTATATACAGTATACCATCCAATTCCAGACCCCTGTAATTCCGAGACCCCTCTAATTCGAGACCTCTTTTTCGAAGAAACAAAACGCTAACCCTCCAGTTTTGGTGACCGAACCTTAAGACCAACACAAATATTTAGGTTGTTTGTGAGAAATTGCCTAGGGTTAGAATTGCACGTATATCCCATAGGTCTATGTGATGGGTATGATACTCGCATTGACAGCGAGATACTACAGGCTTTAATCCCGCCCCAGGCATTTTTTTTTTGTTCAACTGAAAGAAAAAGAACTTTTCGCTGATGAGCTATGCTTGATGCCATTATTACATGTTCTTACTTGAGCAGTTAATATTATTTATCTATTTGTTGATATTGTGTTTACGGTACTACGCAGCAAACTTGATTTGAAGATTTTTTACTTTGATGCGACCTATAAGCTTTTCTAGCTAATTCACAGCTCCACTGGTGTGAGCGTTTCAGTTAGTTGTAAAGTTGGGGTTTAGTGCTGCACGTATATACTATAGGGCTCTGTGGTCTAATTGGAGTTTTTTTTTAATACAACTGAAATATAGGAACTTGAATTAATTACTAAATTTTCCTTAAATAAATTGATAATAATTAATTTAATTTTCTCTTCTTTTTATATTATGTTTATTGTATGTGATTTTTTTAAATGTTTTCCCCAACTTTTGTTGGTTCTTCTTAATATTTGTATCTATTTGTTCATATGCTGTTTATGG